TGTGTTGAGACAGGCTGTCTCTTCATAGTTCAAAGTGAACCTGAGCTCATTAGAAGCCTAAGCTCTTCTTGGACTCATGGTGACCCTACTAACTGAGCATCTCTATTTGGGATTAGTCATAGGCCTACAGGCTGTCCAATTTCGGAAGCACATTCAGGGCAACAGCCCTGCCAATGACCTTTTCAGACCAAGTGAACATTATACTATTGTTAAACCCAGTGAGTTATGCCAGTTACAAGCCTCCCCTTTATTATTATTATTATTGTGTTCTTTTTGGTTTTTTGAGACAAGGTCTTGCTATGTAGTACAAGGGGGCTGTGATGTCCTCAGATAGCCCAGGCTGGCATGAACCTGGCAGTAGTCCTCTTGACTCAGCCTCTTAAGTGCTGGTGTTACAGGTATACATCACAGTGCCAGCTCCATTCTTGCTTTGCAAATGACTGTGCAGCATGATTTGAATTCCCTGAATATTATAAAATGACTTTGTAGCCCAATGGCCTCAAAGTCCCAATGATCTTCCTGCCTCAGTCTCTCCTTTACGGGGCATACAGACCTGCTCCATGTCATCTCCATTTATACCTAGATATGGAGAAACACACTGTCTTTGATTCAAAAACTTTAGCCAAGAATCAGTAATACACACATCCATGTTTGATATCCATATGTGAGTATTCAGTATGTATGTGGATTTAAAAATCTATTAACACAATGCCCAGGTGCCATTAATCCCTCTCAGTGTGCCCCTGCTGGCGTTGAACGCAGTCACATCATCATTCTTGCTGCTTTCTGAAGCATTTCTGACAGTCATTTTTGGTGTTTGCAGTTGTGCATTTGTGGCAGCTTGGATGACTTGAATGAATTCAAACACCATGTTGACTTTGTGGGCAGCACACGTGCCACGTGGTGATAGATGCGGTGACTGATGTGGAAGAGGACAGACAAGTAAGCATGTTCTTACTTGAATGAAATTCTGCATATATTGAATCAACAAGATGTGAACCAATCTGATAAGTTCTACAACTTGAGACAGAAAGACACATTTATAAAATGCTCAAAGTCATCCCTTCTCTTCAAGCAGGCTTAGCCTTTGTTTGTTAGGTGTCTCTTTTAGAGAAAAAACAAGTTTTTAAAAGGTCAAATATTCACCATTCCTGGAGGTCATTAGTTCTATCATGCATCTGTCTGTCTCTCTATCTCTCTGCCTGTCTCTCTATCTATCCATCTATCTATCCATCTATCTGTATTTTATTCTTAGCATTTTGGAGAGGCCTTCTCCTTTCCTTCTCCTATGGAATCTTACAGAAGGGGTGGACTTCACTGTAGGGGTAGACTGAGGCACCATGGTGTGGCTGGTGCAATGTCTCCAGAGCCCATCTCAGTGGCAGAATTGTCCAGCTGTTTCCAATCAGCCTGCTCCCATTTGTGCTTCAGGGTTTTGCTTTCACTCTAGAACATATTTCATGAGTCAGCAATCCAAACCCATATATCTCTGCAGGGACCCTCAGTTCCCCCAGAGCCCCAGTGGGCCAGAGAGCCTAAAGGGAAAGCGAGTGTAGACAGCAGAGGGCTGAAGTGGGAGGGAAAATCTGGCAGGCAGAGAGGAAGGGGTGGAGGAGGGAGGCCGTGCATGGCCCACATTAAAGGACACAAAGCAAGTGAAGACGGGGTTGAAGATGGTCGGAGGAGGAAGGAGAGGCACAGCTAGTGAGAAGGGAGAGATCCTAGAGTGGCCAGTTCAGGGGGACTTTGTGATGGCCAGAGAGGTCAACGATGAATATCCAAGTTATCATTGGGAAAATCCTGCCCCAAAGAAGGAGGCACACAGAGGTGTCAGAGCACAGTCAGGAGCGGACCAAGAAGGCGGTAGAGTCAGCTGAGAAGTTTCCCTTGGAGGTGAGGCTCATAGAGAAAAGAATGGGCTCACAATACCAATGGAAACCTTGGAGTGTCCAGACAGAGGGCCAGGAAGAGGCCTTTGTGCCTAGGAGCTGCCTTTCAAAGGAGGCCTGGGACTCCAGCCCAGCTTCAGAGACTGTGCTGGAAATCTTAGTGCTGAGGTCCAGTCTGCCTCTAAATGTGTCTGGAGCAATGCTTCAGGCCTCTGTTGCATTGGAAGATCCCAAATCTGAGGGTCAGAAGGGAAGAGGAGGATTTACCTGTGTGCGCCGGGGGTCCTGTGTGAGAGAACCTGCAGTCTCCTGATTAATCTGATTTTGCTCAATTGTCAGTTTCCAAAACCAGTCCAGAGAAAAATTTTCATGGAATTGGAAATACCCATACTGTGAGAGCCTGAAGCAGGATTGCAATTTGAGACCACCCTGGACAATTTAGTGATCTTGTCACATGCTTTCTCAAATTTAAAAATTGAAAGTGGGCTGGGGACATAGCTGACTGTGAACATGTATGTTCAATCTACTGTTCTCTAAATATATATATACATATATAATTCCCACTGGTTAGAGATGGCAAGGATGACTTTCTTCAAAGGGAGCCACCAGGTTACACAGAGGACATGAACACATGGTGAGTGGTACACTGAGGCACAACAGGCACACAGCCCATCCTCCCATTTGGCCCAGATTCCCTGGGCTTCCAGAGCCTGTGCAACCACATGGAGAGGGTACAATGGTTTCAGGGAGCAGAGCAATGGGGTCATGCAGGGAGGCAGAGCCTGAGTTCCCATGTGCAGTATGTATGAGAGGACTTTCACAATTCAATACTGCTATGCAACTCAGGGCATGGAAAACTATTCAGAGAAATAACCAGGGTAATGGAGGACTCTGGATAACCCAAGTCCATAGGATTCTTGGCCAAGATGGAGCAGCATGATCAGGTATGTCCTGGAGATGGGAAAGGACAGGCACCCTGAGCCGATGATACACAGAGGGATCAGGGGTGTGAGTGGCTAAATAGACTGAGCTGCAGTTTTGCTAAAATGGGAGCATGCAGAAGCATAGAATGAATCCACACATCCAGGTCCAAATGCAAAAGAGCTCAGAGGTCTTTTAGTGTTGGGTGAAGGAGAGAATCTGTATCACCACTGGGAATCTGAGATATAGCAAGTGTAATTTCTCCCTTCTGTGAGCTCTGCCTATGAAGGTATGAACCCATTTTTACTAAAGATTGCAATTTTAAAAATTTTGGATGATGTTCATATATGGCACCTAGAAAAATTCACAGTCAAGAAAGTGAAGAGAAAATGTTAAATTGTGGGTTTTTGGGTGTTCGTAACTGTAACACTAGTTGCAAAGGTGTAAGAACATGTTTTTGGATGTGTCTCATGCTTGTAATTTGAGTGGTTGCGAGGCTGAAGCGGAAGGATGGAAAGTTGGGTCTTTCCTGTGCTGTGTAGAGACCTCAAGTTCCTCCTGGATTACAGAGTGAAGTCATATCTCAAAATTAATAATAAAATCTAAAAGAAAGCTTTCAGTTTTGCCAGGGGGAACTGGGAATCCTCAGCCTCTTAAGGGGTCTCACAAGGCAACTTGCAAGCCTTGCTGTGGCCCAGAGGGTACAGCAGTGTAGCATTACAAACTACCCAGTAGAGTTAAGGGACTACTTTAACAGAGCACACCTGGAGATCAGCAGATGCATCATGTGGTTTTTTTTCACTCTTTTCAAGGTCACAAAACATTCAAAGAGTTCACACCAAGACAGTGCTTTAGCCCAGCAGGTCCAGCACCCTGTGTGTGGCTGCATCATCTGGACGAGTCCACAAGGCAGGCTGAGGAACTCCTGCTGATGACTGATGTATTGCTGGAACACAGCCTGCCTAGGACTCCGGATGAGAGCTGTGTGTCTCCAGCTTTATGGCCAGGAGGTCAGGAATGTCCTTGCTCATTCAGCCCACATTGCTACCCTGGTGATATCACAATTACCGAAGCCCTCCTCTGCATGGGCCCTGCTGCTCCACAAGATAATCACACAATTGGCTGTCAGGTTCCCCAGACTTTGCGGTCCCTGTTCCCTCTACTGATATCACCAGCTACCAGGGATACTCCCAAACTAACAGAGTCTGCGCTTAGTGTCAGCACCCTGACCATGTCTGTGCTGGCAGTGCTCCTTTGAAGGAACTCAGTATTTCCTACGACAGAGCCCTCTGGCCAATATCCCTGCCTTCCCAGGCTGTTCTGCTACTGGCATTATTCGTAGGAACAGATGGCAAATTTCCAGGGATACAGTACGGTGCTTCAAGTGTGTTAAACCTTCACAGCCTCAGGAGCTAATTTCAATGAGCCCAGTGTCATTTCTAGATACAGTCTGCAGCATTTGTGGTGCTGCCTGGACGGCGAATGGACCTGGAAAAGCTTGGGATTCTCTAGCCTTTCTCTTGTGTATGTGTGCCCTCAAGCCAGGTTGTGACTGGTGTTGTTTTCTGTCAAGCTGGCTCAGGGTCAGCACATCTGGTGTTTTCAGTTTTGGAGCATTCCAATCATCTAGCACCCATGCAAGTATCATACTCAAGACACAGGTGTGTGGGACATTTCGAGATGGAGGTACTTATGACAAGATACTGAGAAGATTTCAGGATGGTAAGATACAGACAGTATGAAGGGTGTGGCACGGGCAGCCTCCAAGCATTCCCAGAAGAGATCTGGGGTCAGTGTGAGTTTTAGTCCTTTCCCCTCCACTTCCTAATGAGCCTGAATGGCCACCCAGTGCCGTCCTCACTTGTCTCTGGTATCCGTCCAGGCCACTAAGCTAGTTCAGGGGCTTCTGCCCATGTCCACTGTGCATACTTGGTTTTCATCCCTCGGCCCATTTTCTGGCCACATGCCTTAACGTTTTACTACTCTGTTACCCCAGGCATCGAGGTGTGGCTGTAACCAGTCAGCCATTACCCAACCTCAGCAGAGCTCATGAGGGCTGCAGCCCACTAAATGGAGTGCAACATCCCTGTAACCAATTGCAGCCTCAGGCTCCTCCCCTTCGCCTCAAAGCTTTTCCCAAGATCCACTGCGGTTGAACCACTTTTGCGGTGGAGGAAGCTTCCGGAACTTTGGAAAATGGCTGCCACGGAAGAGAAGCGCCGTGAGGGTGGTGCCCGCTCCCTCAGCCCGGAGTTCTGGAAACAGGACGTCAGCATGGATCCTGCAGCACATGTCTCCGCAGCAGCCGAGGGTGGCCACTTCAGTGAAGAACCTACGGGATTTGTGTCGGAGGAGCCCCTCGAGTGCCACCTGTATGAAGATGACGACGACGATGAGGATGGCCACAGCCTGACCCGAGAGGTTCCTGTGAGCCAGGGAGGTGACAGCGACCCTGACATGTATCACAGTGATGAGGAGCCCAAAGAGCTGCAGCTGGCCGCGCAGGATGCTGTGGATGCCGGGGATCGAGTCGGGCGCCAACTGAGACGGCGACCGTTTAGAGACGGGCAGGCGCAGGAACTGGAAACCGCTTTCCACCACAAGCGGTTCGCAGATGTCCTCAGGAGGTGAGCAGCTGTCTTGGGGAGCACCCAGGCTTTAGGGGGAATGGGCTGCTTCCCAGGTGACTTTCCCTCTCTCCTGCTGCCCTCTTTCTGCTCTTGAGCTGAGAGCACCTGGGCTCTTCTCCTGCTTGGCTTGTGTCGCGGTGTGATGGCGCCTTGTGTGGGCCGAGCTCAGAATTGTCTTGCATTACGGATGTGAATCCAGGCAGGGAACTGGTTGGCGGTCACTACACTTCCTTTTGTTTGTGTTTTGTGGTATGAGAAGCACACACTAGCACTGTGCTGTGAGAACCACTGTGAAGCACAGAAGTCAGCAGTGCTGGGTATTTTCATGTCATGGTTTAGTTGTCAGCAGTGTCAGATGTGTGCACGTTGCTGTGAAACAGATCTCCAGAACATTCCTCACCTTAGAAAATCAAACTATCCACCGGAAATGCCTCCCGTTTACCTCTTCTCCTCAGTTCCTTACAATGAGGATTGTAGGTTTTGGTCTGTGAGATTGACTTTTCCAGAAACAGGGTCTAGGTGCAGCAGTAGCCGGTTAAGTTTTTTGTGCCTGATTATTTTAGTTCGTTTATCCCAACTGTGCAGCCATGCTTCAGGATGTGTCAGAAGTTCCTTTCTAAATGCCAACTAATAGTCCCTTGCATATATACGTACTTTTTCTCATTCATCTGGGGAGAAGGTGCTTTTGTGAATAGTACTGTTGTGAGCTTGCCTGACAAATAGCTGTCAACATCCAGATTTCAAAGCTTTGGAGGCATCCTCAGAAATGGAATCACTGAATCATAGTATTCTGTGTTTCTGCTTTGAGGCCCATGTGATATTCCAGTCATGCAGAACACTGCTTGCCTCATCCAGATCAGTGAAGTGGAACCTTTGTGCTTTTGTCTCCACAGAATTGAGTTTGCAAGTGTCCTGTGTGTGCCTGAATCCAGAGAGAAGGTGAGTAAATCCAAGGAAAGCCAACTGGCAGGATAGTCACTCTCCATCCTGCTTCAGGACATCGTTATCCTGGCACCTTGTGAAGCTGGGGTTATTTCTTGTCCACACTTACTGTACATACAGATTTAATCTACAGAGAACTAGTAGAGAGAAAATCAAATGAGTAGACGTGGGCTTGTAGTTCCTTCCCATTACCAGAGGGAACATGCTTTTGTAAAGGAAACTGCTAAACATCAAGCTGCCTGCTTTATTCTGTGTGAGCAATGAAATACATATTTGGGCACCGAAAACAGAGTGGTGTAATCTCGCACGGCCTTAATACAGGAACATATGTGCAGATCCTCCTTATTTAATGGCCTACATGATAATTGGGTGTACTTATTCCTGAGGCACCCTACTTGGACTAATGACCTGTCAGGCTTTGGTACCGTTTCCTAAATTTTCTTTACAGAGATTCAGTGTTTTGTTCTTCTGCAGTGCACCTTTTGAATAGTAGAGAGTAATGTTTGCTGATCATTTTGGGAGGGTACTGTGTTTAGATGTTCTGTTATCAGTTACTGCATGTAACACACATGTTTATGTTACACACATAAAAGCAAAAGCCTCATGTCAGATTTTCCTTTTTTCTAAATATGATGGTGTACATACCATGAAAAACTCCACACTTAGGGAACAATTCATTTCACAACCTAATCTAATGCAGAAGCCGCAGGTGGTAAATGAGGAATGTCTGTATGTCTGGATTCTCTAAGCAAGACTGTCCCCACTGAAGGCCCAGTGCGCTTTAGGGTGCATTTCTACATGCAGTCTTGTTGGGGCTCAGTCTGACGTTGAAAGTATCCAAATGGGTGCAGGGGGAGGCAAGATTAAAGGAGGGTTCCTTTGTGAGGATCTATTTGAAACCAAGCCTAAGGACACAGGTAAACAGAGTGTGTTAAGAGTCATTTGATGGCTGCATCTTCATTCCTTCAATTTTTTTTTTTTTTGTGCTGGGCACTGAACCTAGAATCTCTCAATTCAAAGTTTTCTGCGTACAGTACAATTATCATGTGAAGAAACTCCCCAAATACACAAAGTAGGATTGAGCAGGGTATATGATTGGGGCCTTTAGATATTGAGGTGAAGCGTGCAATAAGGAAAAACAGTGCTATGGTACCAAGTTTGGATAACTGAAGAAAAATGACATGGATAGAAAAACATATGAGCATTCAAAAGATGCCTTAAAATTCGTTACTAAATTCATAATTGATTCTTCTTTGAAAGTAATTTTTAGCATGGAGAGGGGTGGTATTTCTGTTGGATATAATGGTTGAAGGAGTGGGTTTTGTAGAACAATTGGTGGCGTGGTCTTCATTTCAGGATTGATTTGAATTGGACATAAATGCACGGAGCTTGCCTTGCTTGAGGCAATGCTGAGCAGAATGAGGGTAGGTCCTGGGGTCAGAGGAAACCTATGTGAGATGGAAGAACACAGTAGCTACAGCATAAAATCTGGGTGTGGGTGAGAAAATCAGGATGAGCTCATGAGCAGCGCTGTTGCTGAGTGGATGACAGAGAGCAGTGGGGAAATGGGTTGAGCGTGTGGTGAGGGGGTCCAAGAAAGCAGCCCAGCATAGCGGGACACCCAGCGATGAAATCCCATTGCCCAGGCCTGGTCTACACAGTCTGTCTCACCTGGGAGATGCGAGTAGTGCGTGGGGAGAATTTTCTTGGGCTGCCTACAAATCCCAAGCTGGGAGGATCTCAGGTATGGAGGGACTTTCTCCCCACCCTGGCTGTGGGCCTCTCTGACTAGAGTCCTGAGGGAACAAGAGCCACACCAACCAAGTGAAGGAGGGAAAAATTCTCAGTGAGTCCAGTCTCTGCAGCATGCAGTTTCCAAGAACCTTTTGCGTGATCCCACTTCTCCTGTACAGATTGATAGATCTGATAGGAAGCCAGGCTCCAGACACTGACCTGATGTCAGCTTACCTGGGACAGTGTGCTGTAGGTGCTGCTTTTTAGATGCAGATGGCACCAGTGGACACTTTGCATAATTTGAAAAGCAGTTCTGCTGCTATGGGCTTCTTGAGAGGTGTATTCCAGTGGGGAACCTGGTGTGAGGCAGGAATAGCAGGTCCCTTGTGTCATTATAGCTTGAAGTGTGGGAGCTTCACAAACAGTTAAGTCCTCGGGAATCGTCCAGTACTGGGAGTCTGAGAGGACATCCAGAGTAAAGTGGTCAAGTTGCCTTACTTGACAGGCTAAAAGTCAAGCATCTTCCATGATCCCTGTCCCACTGACTACCTGCAGCAGTCAATTGGCTACGGAGGATGAAGAGTCCTCATCTTTCCTTGAATGGTTCCACTATCAAGGAGCCCCACATATTCCATCCTGCCGGCACTTTACTTCTCCTTGAAGGTGGGATTTTCCAACCTGGAGTTCTTTCCTGCTTTGGACTTTATCTACAGACACTGGGTAACATGCTAAAGCCCACACACTTAGTGGAGCTCTCCCTTGTGAGGTGGAGCAGGAGTCAGCTGGGCGGCATCAGGTCAGCAGTCAGGATGTTACATTGCTTCATCTGATTAGGATGCCTTGAGCTCACATCAGGTCCTGGAGCAATTTTCACCTGGGACTGCATCCCACCCATGGAAGAAAGCATTCAGGGTGAGTGAGGTGGGAAGGACCCAGGAGACCTTCTAGGCTGTCCCTGAGCAGGGAACATAGCTAATGCTCACTAAGGATGTGAAAGAAGAAGTAGGATTATGTTCCTACAGTTAGTTTCATTTCCTGAGCTTCAGAAGGAACTCAAGGCCCCGTGCAGCCTGGGCCTGTGGTCCCCCTCTGATGTCCACCCTCAGTCCTCTAAGCTGTTCCAGTCTTAAGAAAGTAGATTGCAGGACACAATCTGCTTTGCTGAGTGTACCATACAGTACAGCTTGCCTCCTGCAATCTAAGTATCAGTGCCATAGGAAGTTATATGGTGTGTTTGTTCCTTGATGATAATGATTTTTATTTTCTGTCTACTAAGACAATCAGTTTTCTCCTCTACCCTCAGGTTTGGTTTAAGAATCGGAGAGCCAAATACTGGAAAGCTCAGAGGGAAGTCTTGCTCAGGAATGCGCCACCTGATTCCCAGGACCACATTGTCATTGAGAAGGAGGAATAGCTTCTCTAGGATGCTGTCTTTTTTGAAGAGGCCAACTCTGCTTGGAGTGTTGTTGTTCTGTTGCTGTTGTTTTTGTTGCCAACACCGTTTGTCGATTCTGTAGCTCTCTCCATAGCACCTGTATTGCAGTAAAGTTGTGAATTGTTAACATTTGTGTTTTTCTGTTCTTTACGGGGTTTGTTAAACCTGGATAAAATGTGCTCAGGTCTCCTGTGATGAAATGTCTTCTTGAGTCACCATTGAGAGACCTTGGTAATTAGTCTTCTAAGTGTCATGGTCAGTTTCTCATGATCAATATTTCACACTAAATTGTCTGTTGCCAAAAGGCTGATGATGGTTTCCCCAGCTGTGTGCTGTCATTTCCCAACCTCCAGTATGTGCAAGGGAGGCGGGGCAGGTCCCTGGTGGAAGGACTCCGGCTGCACACAGTGCTGGGTCTCCCTCACCCTAAGGAATTCAGTGGCATCACTGCACTCTCAGAGCAGGTCCCCAAGAAGTGACTCCTGGGTGAGTGACAAGGTGGCAGAGGCACAGCCATGTCCTGTCCTCCCAGTCTTGCTCAGTGTCCTCCTGGCTGGGGAGCACATAGGATGCCAGGGGCAGCTGTGGAGCAGAGGTCCTGCTGCTTCTAGAGAACCACAGGACTGAGTCCCAGGGAGGCCAGAGTGGCTGCTGTGCCTTTCTGTCCCATCCCCAAGCCAGTGGCCAAATTTTCACCAAGGCATAGATGCTGAGAACCTCTCCTCATCTTGTCCTTGGTCTTTGTGAGCCCTGTTGCGGATCTCCACTTCCTGGTGGCTTCAAGTTGAAAGCAGGTCATTTCACCAGAGCCACTGAAAGCCAGAATAAAAATGTAGCTCCATGAGCACAGGTCCAGGGAAAGCAGCCTTTGGAATCAACTGCTGGCTGCAGGAGTTCTCATTGTCCGGCTTGGATAAATCAGCGGAGGTGTAGGCAGAGGTGAGTACCACTGTGCTAAAGCATTTAGGTGTTCTGAGATGAACCTTTGCTTTCAGGGAATCTTTGGCAGTGTGAGTGTTCGGCAAGGAGTTTTACATTAAAGGTCATGAAGTGTGGAAAGCGCAATCCTAAGGAACATTGAGTTCAGAGCCACACACAAGGTACAGTGGTGACTGCAGGTACCCCCTGGCAGTGGCTGTGTGTTCTGGGTGACCCTTCCTTTTTGTTCTCAAAGGCCTGTTGGTCCTAAGTCAATCAACAATCTCTGAATGATTCTCTGACTTTCAGTTTCTCAGGGGCTCCTTTGGGTGACTATCTTGGTCCATGATCCAGTCTCCAAGTGAGCTAAGAGCTAAGACAGGTGGACACTGGATGATTCTTTCTGGGCTGAACACCTTCCCCTATGGGGTTAGAACCTCTCCCAAGATGCCTGTTCACTGGCCCTGCGGTGGGAACATTGCAGAGTACCAGGGAAGATGCAGTTTGCTTTCTCAAAGCCTCTGATGGGGGAATTGGTCTGGTGGTTTGCACTTCACTTTGCCTTGCTCTGTAGCTCTTCCCCGTTTAATGACCTACCTGTGTAATGGCTGCTCTGACCTCTGCCTGCCTTTTGTCCACGTTTTTACTTCTTCTGCATAGAGCCTCAATGTCTGTTCTGTGCAGAACACCTTGTTCATATGGTGGTGTAGTTTTTGTTGAGTGTACTGTACAGTGTGATGCTGTAGTTTTATGATCTATTATAGGCTGCAGTACTGAATCTAGGATACAGAGATCAAAGCAAAGTAATCGAATTGAAGTATCCTTAGAGCACTTCGTTGTCTGAATATTGGAACACACATCCTATACCCAGCTCCTGATTTGGAAACCAATTCCGTGAACATCCTGGTCACAGGAACAGAACTCAGTCCTTAAAGCAGGAGTGTCTGTGTGTGGATCTTGGTTTCCGTGACTGCACTCCTCAACTTTGGAGCCCATGAGCTTTCTGGTGCCCAGCTCTGAAGGTCCCATGAGAAATAGGCAGCCAGGATGGAATTACCCCTCCCGTGACCTTGATGAGTTTTGTAGGAATGTTGCTTGATATCAATCCCAGGACATCATGCATTCTGGGCAAGTCCTGTACCATTGAACTACACCCCACTCCTAGTCTTCTCCATTGTGAATAGCAGTGTTCAAAATTTCTTTTGTGCATTATAACCCAATGACTGATCTAGTATTACATAATTTGAGGGAACAACATCCAGATTCAGATGCCATTGACACCTTCCCCTTAACCCAAACATGAAGGATAGTACTTACTTCAGGGAATAATACTTTTACCGCAAGCTTCACTGAGATTCTTCCAGTGTTCCCTTCCATGAAGCCGGAGAAGTAGAGTTCTCCCCAGGAAAGAGAATCCTCCCTCACCAGCATCTTTTTCTTAGCAAACTCACACTGATTTTTCTTTGTGGATTGCACGGATGACTGTTATTGTTTATCCAGTGAGATAAATTTTCATTTATCTTGTAGTACTAGATCAGTGATGGCTGGGAATTTGGTTTGTCATTTCATGTTGCTTTACCAGGCCAAAGCCTTTTTCTTTTGGGAGACATGTGGCTTAAATCAAGATACCACTGTCATCTTTCTGCTGTCTAGCGGAGGTTGAGTAACAGACAGTATTCTGTCTTCTTCTTCTTCTTCTTCTTCTTCTTCTTCTTCTTCTTCTTCTTCTTCTTCTTCTTCTTCTTCTTTTTCTTCTTCTTCTTCTTCTTCTTCTTCTTCTTCTTCTTCTTCTTCTTCTTCTGCTTCTGCTTCTGCTTCTGCTTCTTCTGCTTCTTCTTTTATTCTTCTTCTTCTACTACTATTTCATCTTTTGGAGACAGTTGTTTTTTGGAAACAGTGTCTTGCTGTGTATTACATGTTGGCCTTGAATTCAGTATGTCGAGTTGACTGGCCTGGTACACACAGAAATCCTCCTGCCTCAGGCTCCCATGTGCTGGGATGGTGGCTTATGTTATCACGCCCAGCCTTGTTTCTTTTGACAGATCAGGGAATGTATGTCTAGAGCAGTATGGTGGCTTGGCAGGGAAAATAGAGAATTCATTCAGAAGAAGCCAGTCTCTGAGCGACAGTGTCCTCCCCTGGGCCTTAGATCACTTGCCCTTGGCTGAGTGTACTAGCCGTGTTCAGCTCCTCAGCCCTTTCTCCTCACTCCCCCGCCCCCCATACCACACAGGGCTCTGCTGGAAGGGGCTGCAGTCTCTGACCGCACCCTCAAGCCCCACTTTTGTGTCCCATCATCTCTAGGAAAACAATCAGCCTCCCTAGAAAGCACACAGTATGCAGGGAGCACCACGGCATCACAAGTGTCCAGGACACTGCGAGCCCTCAGAGGGTTCAGCAGGGCCCCCAATTGATCTTTGTTTCTCGGACATTTGGCAGATCCCCTAAAGAATAAGTAGAAGCTTGTGCGAGCCTCAAGAACGAAGGGGCAGAATCTGGGGAGCTGAGGCCATGGGAGGTGAGTTCCAGCACACTGGTCCTGGCCTGGGAAGAGTTTAAGATCATCACTCCCAGCAGTTACGTCCCTACCCAGCTTCCAGACAGAGGGGACTAGGATTAGTAGGTCTCCCAGGCCTAACTGGTCCACCCCCAGTGACCTTCTTTCAACCTGGGGAGCTGAGGTCACACTAGGTGAGTTCCAGCGTACTGCAATGGGCCCAGGGAGAGTTTAAGAACATGGTTCCCAGTGGTTAATTGCCTGTCCAGCTTCTAGATACACTGAACTAGGATCGGGGTTTTTTCCAGGCTGACTAGACCATGCCCAGCGACCTTCATTCAATCAGAGGAGGTGAGGGCGGGCGAGGTAAGTTCCAGTGAGTCAGCACTATTCCCGGGAGAGCTTTGGACCACCACCCACAGTGGTTAGGTCCCACCCAGCTTCCTGGAACACCAGAGGTGGCACGGGAGTTCCTGCGGTCACACGCTGACTGAACGATGCCCAGCAACCTCCATTGAGTCCCAAGAGCCTAGGCCATAGGAGGTGATTTCTAACATGGCCAGGTGAAGCTTTGGAACATTACTTGAAACACGGTAATATAGGAAAAAGACAAGATAAAATACCAAAATCTAATCTCAAACCTGTAACCCATCCCAAGAAAGCCTAGCAGCCATGTACATAGAAGAAAATGTAAGCTACACACCTGAAATACCTGAAATAATAGCAGCTGAAATAAAGAAGCAACTCCAGGAAGCTCTAAAGGAATTGAAGTTAGAAATAATCTCCCAGGTAAAAGAAGAAATGATAAAAATAATGAAAGAAATGCTGAACATATCTAAAGAAGACACATTAAAAAATTAAAGGAATAATGCAAAAAGAATCCCTGGATGAACAATATAAGAAACAAACAATACATGAAGCAAATCCAAAGAGATATACACGAAATCAAAAATTACATTGAAAGTTGCAAAACAACCTCAACAAAAGTGAAGACAGAATTTCAGACTTTAAAGACAAGATTGTAGCTAGTGAACAGAAAAGGAAAGATCTTTTGAAAAATAACAAGGAGTGGCAGAGCAAAGATGGCGGATAGATAACAGCTGGCTACAGAGGCTCCCTGAGATAGTCAATTAGAATTCAACATAATGCAGCATGGGAAGTCCCAATGAGAGGGAGATGAATTCTCTCATCCCAAGAAGAAACTAAGGTGAGAAAAATCAATCAAACATATAGTCCTGGCTTGCTTCACCACTGTGCAGCCCTAAGCACCTCCGGGCCACTGGCGGACAGGCCATCCCTGTGCCACCACGTTCTAGGTGTTGCCTCTGACTCTGTCACACAGCAGGCCCACTGGAGGCTGGAGGAGCAGAGTGACTTGGCACCCAGAAGCTGACACCACGACTGCCACCATCACTGCCACCTCTGCTGCCTCCCTGGATCCAGGCTGTGTCCCAGAGGGTGCAAAAAGGAAGGCACATTGCAGTGTTGTGGACTAGGGACCGGACTTGCTGGGACACATCACCGCCTTTGCCCTTGCCACTCACACAAGGACTCTAGCCCATGGCACCTGTGCTGAGTGGCCCCCCGCCACCAGAGTGCCTCTGAGGTCCCAGGGCAGGTGAGTGCATCTTTGTCACTGCCAGGGCCATGTGACTGGAGCCCCACGGAGCCACCACCTT